CCCAGGGATTTCTTTCCAAATTTGTCACATTTGCTGGTCTTGGCAGGAGGCTGTGGCTGGAATTATTAAGCTCACAGAAGCAGTTCCCACCTACACTCTGAACAGTTGATTTTGATACACCCACGTCCTCAGAGCAACATCCACCACCACCACTTTGGAAGGCAAGAGGCCACATGGAAAAGATGGGGAATGGGAGGGGAAGGTCTTGGTTTAAGGGGGAATTTCTCAGGATATAGCCTGGTCATTTTGGGAGGAGAAGAGCAGCAGCCAAAATGAAGGACTAAAAGGAGCCTCTCTTCACATGCAGTCCACAGAGACAAATAAACCCCAGCAAAACTGTCTTTTACAGCACCACCAAAACACCAAAATTCAGGCCAACTTTCGTGGTTTTTACTAAGCACTCCCATCCTTTAGAGGGATTTGGGCAGGGAACTGCTGCTTCATGTTTTGCCTTTAAAAGTCAATATTTTTTCCCTTCTTAAACACTTTGCAAATGGGTGGAATAAATGAAGACATCGCAGTCTGTGGCTGCTCAGCAGTGCCAAGGCACTGAAAGCATCGTGCCCACAGAAGAGCTGGGGGATGAACAAGCCCTCCTGCACTGCAGGCTCGGGATAAAACCCCCTGATGGAAAGAGACTCGAGCCAAGCTCTCCAACCTCAGGCAGGGAGCATTCCCCACCCCTGCTTTTTCCAGCTGATCTAAAGAACAGTGGCACAAACTCCATAAACCACCCCACTGAACTCCACTCAAGGGGATCTGCTCAGGCTCCACCACTTTTGTTTCCTTTCCAATTCATCTCAGGTAAAAAAAAAAAACCCTCCCGTCTGATTAACAGAGACGCCTTCCCGAGCACATCCCCCCCTTCCCTGGAACATTTAATATAGACAAGGAAAGAGGCAAACCAAAGGATGAGCCCGAGAAACATCATCTGAGCAGGCTTTGCTGACAGCAGGCACAGAGGGGCTGGGCTGCTCTCTGGGAAGTGCAGCTGAAGGTTGGCTGGAGGGAGGCTGTGCCAAAGGCATTCCCTCAGCACACAGCGCTCCCTGTCCCGACAGGAATTCCTGGCAGCTGATGCCTCTGCAGCAGGAAGTGATTGTGCTTCAAATACTTCCTTTGCCGCTGATAACACGCTCCTGTCACTGCCCTGCCACAGCTGGGAGATAAGGAGAGGATCTTCCATCCCCCAGCCCAGCCCTGCCTCGACAGGGGGGGTTATTTTTAGAAAGCAGCAAACACAGAGAGACAGAGACTGTGCTGTTTGAAGGGACAAATCTGTGTCAAATGAGAGATGCTGGAGAGATATAAACGTGCATTACAGCACTTCCTTCAGCTATGGGCTTTTCAGGGAGCAAAGAATATTGTCTGGGAGGCACAGAGCTGATCAGCTCTCCGTGTTCCATCACCAAAACCTCCCCAGCTAAGGATAATTTCCTGATTCTTGCAAGGGAAGAACAGAGTCTTTATTTCTGGCAGGAAGTAAAGATATTTATGGAATACCTGAGCACCGTTTCTCCTGTTTGTATTAACGGCACAGAGCACTAATAAAGTAAAACCACATTTCAGAGAATCATGGAAGGGACCCACCAGGAGCACTGAGTCCAACTCCTGGCCCTGCACAGGACACCCCAAAATCCCACCCTGTGCCTGAGTCACCACCAATCTGCACCATGTTAAGGAGGGAGAATCATTCCTAAGCTGCCTTAGGGACAGACTGTGAACTCATTTAAAGTTCCACTGGATGTTCTGGAGAGGCATCACAGCCAGGCACTGGCCAGGAATCATGGAAAGGCAGCAGAGATAAAGAGAGAAGTAGCCCAGCAGAGCCAACCCAGCCCAAGCTGGGTAACCACACACAGTCTGGGTAACCATACTGCAACCTTTTTTTAGCATACAGTTATTGAATTGTATTCATGTCTTTTTAAATGATAAGGGAAATTTAACTCAGTCTAGAGTTGGTTCTTAATGCAGACAAGAGGATATGGGGCTCTATGTCACATTTTTTAAACTTGGTGAACTCGAAGCTGCTTCAAAAGGTCCCACACTCGATGAGTTATTTTCAGTTATTTTTTCACAAACCTGAGAGAAGACCAAGAGATATGAAACAAAGTTTGCACTACCTACATGCAAAGTGCTGTTGCTGACAAGTGTGTATTTTTATCAATTTACAGGTCTAATTCCAGACAGTCTTCAGCACAAATGCAGTTTAACCACTTGGAAATGACCTTCTGTTTGTACAGAGATTTTTGTGTGGACTTACCACCAATGCATCTATTGGGCACAACCTGGGTTTTCATTATAAATTAAAAATCAATCATGCAGCCTTAAAAAGCAATTGCAGCAATAACCATAAGGTATTTCAGCGAAACACCAGAGGGTTTTGGGCGCTGATGCAACCTGTGGAGCCCAACCTGTGACTCCAGCTTTGACATCAGCTGGTAAACCAGCAATTTCCTGCCTGTGCAACACGTGCCTTGCTGACAACCACAGAGAAGGGGAAATCTTTGCTGTCAGAGCAGCCTGGCAGAACATTCCTGAAGAGCAAAAGCCCCCCAAAATGCACCTTGCTCCATTGGCACGGCGCTGGGATAAGAGGAGAACAAATCCTTTCTTCTGCATCTCAGCAAGTTATTTTAAAACGCCCCACGAGGTGAAATGCCAGGATATTAATACCTCCTGCACCACATAATAAGTGACATAAACGTTACAAAACAACCTGAAATTTGGCCAGGCTGTTAATAGACAGCATTACACAATTCCTGACACAGCCACATAATACTGTACTTCTCCCATGCAAATTTTCTAACAGTGAATAGATTTTGAGAGGAGTTTCCACCCACCAGCCCTCAGATGCAGCTCAGTAATTTGCTATTAGGTGCCAAGCTGTCACTTCCCATCACTCCAGCCCACTGCCATTCCCTGCTCCACCTTGGGAGCACAAAGGAGCCTCCAACCTGATTAAAATGGATGAGCCCCGTGTGGAGCTATTTTTGAATCTGTAAACTAATACTGCTGTTGTGTGAACAGCTTTCATTTCTTTCACCATTAACACTGGTCTTCCAAGGCAGATCTGCAGTGCCTTACTCTGCTGGATTTCAGGAGCAAAGCTCTTGTTCTGGGGAGGTTTTTTAACCATTTAGAAAAGTCACTGCACTGAGGGGACCTACCAGGAGTGTTGCTCAGGAAAAGGAAGGAGTGAGAGGCACAGAGGGCCTGAGTCACTTATTTAAGCACCAATTTTGCTTTAGGAGCACAAACAGTTTAAACATGTAGGGTTTTGCAGAGGATGATGTGGTGGGAGCAGAGAACTGGCCTCTCAACACACACACAGTCTCAGTTTTAGGACAGTGCTTCCCATACTGCCATCAGCCACTGTCCCTCTGGAATCACAGCACAGACACAGAGAGGAGACACTCAGGGGCTGAGAGAACCAATAATCCAGCTCAATAATCAACACCATTTTTCCTTCCTGGGCTATATCCTTCCCCAGTTGCCATTTTTCAGGCAGACTTCCCCTGCTTACAGCTGATGGATCACTGGGCAGGAGCATGGGAAGCTGCAGGAGCAGCAATGACACCACAAAAACCAGGGTGAGACTCTTCCTTGCTTGGGAGAACTTCCCACCAGAACATCCTACAGGAAAGCAGGGGAAGGATGTATTATCTGATTTTACTTCTCCCTCTCACAAGTAGAGAAATCTCATCATATCAACCCTCCCATCCTGAAAATATCCCAGGAAATGCTTAAACCCACAGAAGAATTAAACTGTTTGTCATAAATGCTGGTGCCATGCACAGGTTGTGCTCCCTCTCCAGCTCACACACTGTGCTGAGGGATGGAAAGGAGAACTCAGAGGAGCACAGGAGGCAGAACACACCTGTGTGTCCATTCCTGCTCCCCAAAAATGACTGGAAAATTAGTGCTGTCAAATCAGCAAATTACCAGGAGACAAACAAACAAACAAACAAACAAACAAAAAAAAACAACACAAAACAAAACAAAAACAAAAACCAGGGACATGGATCACGCTGTTCCCACACACAGAAAATGATAATCAACAGAGTTTTCAGGGACTGCTGGTTGCCCAGCAGCCACAGAGCTCTGTGTCCAGCATTCTGAGTGACCACTCTGCTCAGTGTCTGCCCCACTCAGAGCTCACCTGCTCAGAGCCACGAGGTGTGAGCAGCAGCACATCCCAGCCCTGACCAGGACCAAGCTCCTCCTCAGTGGGAATCTTACAGAGTTTAAAAAAAAAAAAAAAAACAGCTGCAAATGGTGCCTGCAAAGCTGTCAAGTACTACAGCAGGAAGGGCTGTAAATTATTCACTCTGGATTGCAGGAAATGTTTTACAAATGAAAAGGTTGTAACCTCTCTTTGCCTGGCAGATGCTGGAGGCATTTCTGCTCCTCTAAGTGCAGAACAAAATGTGCCCTGTTTGTGAGAACCAGCAGGGGCTGCTGGGTCTGAGCCCTCCCTGGTGCTGCTCGTGGAAAATGCTCCTGCCTGTGTTCCTGAGGGGTGGATCACACAGGAGCAGAGCCTCACACTCCCAGAAATGCAGCACTGCCTTGGATTTTGATGACACAGCTGCTGCAATGCACAATGCAGAGCTCTGGGAGCAGAGGGATGTTGATTTATTTGTATTCACATCAATCCATTCACACAGTTGTTTAATCACACACACACAAACTGAAAATGCACATGCAGTGATTGCGGATGAGTCAATAAGGAATGTCTGATGCAGCCTTTAAACAGTGATATCAGTCAAATCCAGTGGGAATAAAACCATCTCCAAGCTCAAAGCAGAGCTCCACGTGGCTGAGAGCACGTTCTGGCCCAGCACACGGAAGCAATTCCAAACAAAGGCTCTACTGCTTTGGCTTCTTACTGAACATTTGGCAGCCAGCTCAGGGCAGGCCCCTCTCCTCCTCCACACCAGGTCAGTTGGCAGCCAAGCCCAAGGATGTTTTTGATACAAAGGAAACGTGGGACTCACCTGTATGTTGCCAAAATCCACGTTTTCGTAGTGGAAATGTGCACATTCAGCCATCTTCGGGAAGTGCCCCTTGGTGAAGGATAACCTGGAGCACACCAAGAGCACACCATGAGATGGATGCAGAGCACTGGCACAAAACACTGGCATAAAACAGCAACTTCCTCATCCCAAAGCCAAGGGAACAGAAGGATAAATAACCACTTTGTCATCCTGAAGCCAAGGGAACAGAGGGGTGGGTTGATGTGATGCACCAGAACAGTGGGGAGAGGAACCGAGGGAGAGAGGAGAAGTGAAACGCCAAGTGCCTTTTCCACTGCATCCCTGGGGAACTGAGTGACATTCCAGCACCACCAGAGCCCACTGCATCCCTACAGAACCCTGTGGCATTCCAGCGACACCAGCAGCCTGGGGACACGGAGCGGGGACAAGCAGCTGCAGCTCCACAAATGCACATCCACAGCCTTACACGAGACACAAGGAAAGCACAAGTTTTACCTGTGAAAGGCATCACAGCCCATCAGTCCCGGGGGGATGTATCTGAGGGTGCAGAACAAACTCTATTTATCCTTTGCCTCTTTCAAATCCACAAGTCAGGCATCATTATTCCCGAGTGTCTCCAGCTACCCTGGAGAGGCTGACAGGGAGATCCTGTGGCTCTGCACATGCTCCTGCTTCTGCTGAAGCTATTCTAGACTCCTATAGATATTTCTGGTGGGGAGCCAATGAGATTGTCATTATCTTGCTCTCTCTTCCCACGGGAATACAAGTGGGAAGGGAGATGCAGCATCTGGCTGCTCAGCACTAGAACAAAGAGCCACTTCCCTCACAGCAGAGCACCAGGGAGAGGGGAGCTGGAGGCGCAGATGGATCAATGTTGGGGCGTCCTGGGCCTCGAGTCAGCACTTTCAGCAAAGTAATATTGATTATTTTTGATCCCCGCTGCAGGTTCAAAACCTTAGCTGAAGGATAACTTAGGGTACAGTCTCTGGGAGACAATCAGAGAGAGAAATACAGTATATAAACCCACAGGAAAAAAAGAAACAACCTGGGGGATCAGAGAAGAAAAAATATCCCTTGAAAGGAAAAATTGGGAAGAGTCCATTCAAATGAAGACACAAAGAATGCAAAAAGAGAAGAAAAGAGGAAAAAATATCAAAAGAAAAATATATCTAGGCCACCCACTTGTCCTGGTTTAGCTTTCCAGAGCATAGGGAGACAGGGAAAATGATCTCATTTACACATTGCCTGGGCTTCTCTTCAAATTTTTTCTCTCTGTTTTTTTTTTTCCAGTTTCAGGAAGAAATCACAGAAAAATGAACAACACTGTAACAGTGAGGTTCACAACTCTACCAAGCTTTGCTTCTGTGGCCAGAAACAGGTGAGAGAACAGCAGAACCTCTCCCATCCCCACTTTTGGATTACATCAGTCCGAATTCCCTCAGTTTCACACGGATTTCGGCTGCTCTGATGAAGGTAACTGTGAAAAATCGCTGCTGAATTCCCTGTATTGCAGCGCAACAGCTGAACCCCAGGAGAGTAAACCCAGAAGGGCAGGAGAATCAGAGAAATGTGCTCTTACTTTTTGACATTCTTCACCTTCATGCTGGCGGTGCTGCCGCAGGAGCGCAGGGGCAGCTCCCCCGGGATCTCGGGGATATCGGCTCCTCTGGCCTGCAAAAACAGGGAGAAAAGGGGGTTAAAATGTGGCTGCAAGCTCTGCACATCTCCCTGCTGAGCAGGAGCCTGTCTGCTCTGAAGTACAGCAAACCCCACGTGTGCCAAGAAGTCGTGCTCCTGCCTTTTTTAAGGAGGAAAACCGACCCTCGGGATTGGGATCGTGGATGGGACGATCCTGGAAGTGGAGATCTCTCTGCCACGCTGCAAAGACTTGCTAATTCCTAGCAATAACAGTGAAATCCAGTGTTTAATTCATTACTGCTTCTGCTTCTTCAAGGGGCAGATTTCCAGGGGTGGGAGTCAAACAGGCATTCCCAAACTCCACACTCTGGCTCCTCGTTGAGTACCTGGTTTTCCAGGCATCTGTGCAGAGGCACTGGAAGCAGCTGGACAGCTCACACAGTGGAAAACCAAGTTAATGCCAGAGCTGCTTTTGTGTGGGAGGTGACCTTTTAAAATCGAGGTTTGAAGCTATTGGTTTAAGTGCATGAAGATATTAGAACTCCTCAATCACCGAGATTCAATCACTTCAGTGAGGTCACAACTCCAAACTCCCTCCTTTCTGTTCTGTCACACTTTCCCATCCTCTCCTTCCTCCAGCTGCTCTTTCCTGAGCCATGAGCTCAGCTGGGCTTGGATTCTCCATCCCAGGCACTCTGAAACACTCCAGGGGCTCCTCCTGCTGTGCCAGCCCTGAGCTCCAGAGGAACGAGGGGCTTCAAGTGAGGCTTTGGCAGAGAGAGCAGGGATCAAACGGCGAGCTCAGCACAGACTTCACAGAGCAGGAGGAGAAAAACATGGTCCCTGATGCTGGGGGAGAGGGACCATCAGTGATGTGGGTGAGACCAGCTGAATGAGCCTTTTTTCTGCTTTACAGTGCACTACAAACCAGGACTAACATCCCAAAGAGAGAGTGCTCATGAAGAGGAAGAAAGGCAGGGCAGCATTCCTGTTCTTACAGGCCTGGAACAAAAAAAGTAATGCATCCAATCCATTTTCTACTGGCAGGATTATTAAAGGGATGACTGCCCTGGTGTCAGATCACCCCCAGTGGTTCCATGCCTGTGAATCACCATCAGCAGCAGCAGAGGGAGGGACTGATCCCCCCTGAGCTCCAGACAGGCTCAGGGCAGAGCCACAACCCCCTCATCTGCTGAGGGTCCTGTCCCAGTCCCCAGGCACAAGGGGGCTTTGGGTGCAGTTCCCCTGCTCCACACAGCTGCAGCAGAATCATGGAATCCCAGGATGGGTTGGGTGGGAAGGGAAATTAAAGCCCACCCAGTGCCACCCCCTGCCATGGGCAGGGACACCTCCCACCAGCCCAGGTTGCTCCAAGCCCTGTCCAACCTGGCCTGGGACACTTCCAGGGATGGGGCAGCACCAGCTGCTCTGGGCAACCTGTGCCAGGGCCCCATCACCCTCACAGGGAAGGATTCCTTCCCAATATCCCATCTCTCCCTGCCCTCTGGCACTGGGAAGCCATTCCCTGTGTCCTGTCCCTCCCGCCCCCTGTAAATTGTCTCTCTCCACCTTTCCTGTTGCTCCTTCAGGCACTGCAAGGCCACAATGAGGTAACCCCAGAGCCTTCTGTCCTCCAGGCTGAACAATCCCAATATTGTCAGCCTTTCCTCACAGCAGAGCTGCTCCATCCCTTTAACTCATCCTGGTGGCCTTCTCTGCACACAACCAACCAGGCTGCAAGAGCAGCCATTGGCAAAGGGACTCCAGGATGATCCTCACCAAAGGAAAACAAGGACAGCATTTATTCCCTTAAATAAACCTGTCCTGGGCTGCCTGACTCCTACTGAGCACACAATTACTTCAGGACACTTGAGAGTCCCATTGTGAATTTTAGCATTAAAGAGGATCACCAATTTAATAAACCTTACAGGTCTTTTACATCAGAAAATAACTAATTATGGGAATAAATGTGCCATTCCCATAAGCTGCTTTAAGGCAAAGCTGGATGTGCTTGCCTAATTTTTCTAAAGGAACAGAATTTCTGTAGGAAGAAAAATAGTTTTTTCTCCTCCATCAGCAGTAGGAGCTGGTGGGATATAAAAATGGATAAACAATCTGACAGAAAACGTGGGCTTGGAGCCAGTTTGCAGCAGTGGGCACAGACTACCCTGGATGTGACTCAAACAGCGTGGGCACAGCTCACACCTCCGGAGCCCCAAATGCCAGCAGCTCCCTTGGAAAAACTTGTATTATCCTCTTCTTCCCAGCTGAGCTCTGTCCAAACTGGGCTGGAAGGAGAGAGCTCTGCCTGTCCCCTTTCCAGCAGCCTGTGTCCATTTAACTGGACCACAATGAGGTGCGGTAATTAATGCACTAATTAACTTCCCCAGTTAGGCCGGAGCTCTCTGGACTCTGCTGCAGAGCAAGGCTCTCCAAGGCTCCCAGCTGAGGGGAAAGGGCAGAACTGATCCTGTGCAAGCTGAAATCTTTACAAGGAGGTACCAACACCAGAAAAAAAAACCTGGTGAGGAGACAGATACCAAAATAGAAACTTACTGCAATTTTAGCAGCCCTATTACTCCTAAATAACCACAACTCCTTTCCATTCAAACCAAAGACACACAGCTACATAAAATACATTTATGTATTTACCCCTAATTTGCACCTATTTTGGTCCTAAACTTGGCATGCAGAATGTCACCCTAAGTCACCCTCCAAACCCTCCAAATGAGATTTGTCATCTTTTGTGCTTTGTGTCACGGTAATTTCATTTTTAAAACCATTTTGAAACAGCTGGATTATTTACATCCGAAAGTCAGCTACCTGGCATCACCAGTGGCTTCTCCCTTGCCTGCTCTCCATGCCTGGCTGTACTGAGCAAACCTGGTAATTGCAGAGCAAATCTGTTTATGCAAATTGTTCAGCCCCCTTTTCCCAGCTCGGTGTCACTGCTGCACCAACCTGGAACCTGGTAAAGAAACCACAACTGGCTCCAGAACACAGGAAAATGATTGATCAGCACCCTCAGGCCTCTCAGCTCTCCAGGGGAGGGTTTTCAGTGACACCACTTCACCGACCTCCCCCAAACTAAGGAATTCTCCCACCAAAGGCTCCACTTGCAGGACAATATTTGAGACCTTCAGTGTTTTGTCACAGATTCCTGCAGGGACTCTGGGGCAGGTGGATCCCACCAAACCCTCTGCTCTAAAGCCATCCTGGGAGAGCAGCTGCCTGTCTGTCCCTGATGGATCTCAGAATCCCAGAACTGTTAGGGTTGGGAAACACCTTTAGGATCAAGTCCAACCATCACCCAGCACCACCACCATGGTCACCACTAAACCATGTCCTCAAGGGCCACATCCACATATTCTCCCAACACTTCCAGGGATGGTCACTCCACCACTGCCCTGGGCAGCCCATTCCAATGCTTCACCACCCTTTCAGTGAAGAGATGTTCCCAATATCCAAACTAAACCTCCCCTCTTGCAACTTGAGGCCGTTCCCTCTCCTCCTGTCCCTGTTCCCTGGGAGCAGAGCCCACCACCCCCCCAGCTCCCCCCTCCTGTCAGGGGATTGCAGAGCCAGAAGGTCCCCCCTGAGCCTCCTTTTCTCCAGGCTGAGCCCCCCCAGCTCCCTCAGCCCCTCCTGCTGCTCCAGCCCCTTCCCAGCTCCGTTCCCTTCCCTGGGGATGTCCAAGTGTCACAGCCAAACTCCCTGGGAATCCACGTGCACAATCCAGGAGCTCTCCCAGATCAGCCTGTTCAGCTTTAAGCACTTGAAATTTCTGGTCTTTTTATTTATAACCACGACTTGGGAAACTTCAGCTTTGTGCTCTCCAGCACACAAAACCTGAGTCATAAATAATTTATATCCACCGATTCCGCTGCACAATATGAAAGGATTTTCTCTCCAAAAGCCTCCTTGCATTTATCAGAAAACATGTCAACCTGTCTCCCTCACATCCAGAGACGTAACACAGCCTGAAAATACGTGGAACACCGCAGACAACAGCCCAGTGAACACGATGGGATGGAATTTCCACCCTGGGATCCTCGACAGGGGAGAATATCAAAGCGATGCCGAAGCCACAGCCTCCTCCTGCTGCCAGGAGCTTACACTGGGATGCACAAGAAACGTGGAATACTACATGGAATGCCATGGAATACATGGAATCCCACCAGTGATCCCATAACTGGCTTTCCCCAATGCTACAGGAAGAGCCCTGAGGAGGTACCATGGGTAGGACACAGGACTCAGCAGGTCAGGATGGAGCCAGGGCACTGAGTCCAGGTGGGATTTCTGCAGGCAGGAATTTAATCCAGGAGTAGCTATTACACAGGCACTAACATTTATTCCTCTTCCTACTGTCAGTCTCTCACCAACACCAGTTTGGAGGGACCAGATTGCTCCGGGTTCTTTCAGCACATGGCCTTGTTTCTAAAAACAGAGAGCTGGTTCCAAATGCTGCTCCGTTTCCATGACAGTCTTTCCTTTACATCATCTTCATTTCCCCTTCATTTTCTTGGAGGGAAAAAACAAAGAGAGGGGAAAAAAAACCCAAACCACCCATAGCTGCTGAGGAGTTCACCTGGAGCACAGTGAAGGAAGAACTTTGGCCCATCTCAGGTTCGTGCTCCCCAGCCTCCAAAACACTCCAGGGAGGGAAAGCTCTCTCTGCCACAACTGGTTGTTCACAATAAATAAGTCAAGGAAGGAAAGGCAAAATGCTTCACTAAACTAAAAGTCACCATGTCCAGGCTGCTACAAATAACTCCAGAGGAAAAGGTCCCAATTTATCCCCAAAAGGATGAAGATGGGCCAAGCACAGCAAGGCTGCACCTGGGTCACTGTCCTGAGCAGCAGAAATGGATGGGAATGGATGTACAGGGTACAGGAGCAGCACGATGGAAATGCAAGTATTTCCAAGTTCTTCACGTTACCACTTTCCATGGGTTCATTTAATGGAAGTAAATGAATTCCCTGAGTATTTTCCAGCAGCACGTCTGCGTGACGTTACACACTGTAGCTGCATT